ATTTCATACGACGATTGATGATTATTTTGCGGATAGAAAATTACGCAAAAAGGAATTTTAAAACTTTCTACTTGTAATTGAATATATTATTTTTAAACTGTATGTAAGTAACCGCAATATAAAATATTTAATAACGTTTAACGTTTATGTAGTATTAAGGCATACCTTACCCCGCCTTATTAGAAGTACATGATTGAGCATATATTCGCTCAGAAATATAGCCAAAAGCTATTTCTTTCTAAATCGTTGAGTTGTAAAGATAATCTAGGAACTGACACATTGATTTACTAGTTCACAATAATTATATTGCCGTGTAGTGGCGGTTAAGAATATCCACTACCCCATATCTTCCCGTGGGTGTCGTAAAAGGCGACAAAGGGAAACAGGCAGGAGATGGGCAGCAGCATCTTCCTGATAACAACAAACTTACAATAAAAAAAAACTACGGTTGCCAACCCGTTCGCTAAGCGTGGCAACTATGGCAAATGGCAATGATGAGAGCAACAAAGAGACGGCCACCAGTCCCCGGAGGCACCGCTATTCTTGGCTACGGTGGCAACCATGGTAACGGCGGGGCAGAGGGTGCTAAGAATCTCCGGTGGAGGTTCGGTGGCCACCTACGACGACTCGACCTGGCAACATACAACGCACGCACCCTGAGGACTGACGAGAAGATCGTGGAGCTGGAAGAAGAGAGACAAGTTACGCTGGCATATTATAGGATTATCCGAGGTCCGAAGAGAGGGGGAGGATACGGTAATCCTCGAATCCGGCAACTTGCTCTATCACCGGGAGGGCGACCATCTGTCCAAAGGAGGTGTCGGATTTATAGTCCACAAGTCTCTCGTTAACAACGTGGTAAAAATTGAGTGTGTCAACGGGGGTTGCGTACCTTATACTCAGAATCACCAAACGGTATTCGCTGAAGGTCATACAGGTTTACACACTAACCTCGGCAGACCCCGATGAGGAGGTGGAGGAAATGTATGAGGATATCTCTAGAGCCATGCATTCCTCCAAAACCCACTATACGGTGTTAATGGGAGACTTCAATGCAAAACTAGGCTCAAGAGAGAACGGTGAGCGAAAGTAGGCAAATATTTCGGAATAGGGCAACGGAACCCAAGGGCCCAGCAGCTGGCCGACTTCATGGAGAAAGAGGGACTCTTTATGATGAACTCTTTCTTCCAGAAGCGGCCCCACAGGAAGTGGACCTGGTCGAGCCCCGACGATTCGACAAAAAATGAGATTGACTTCATTATGACAACCAGACGACAACTGTTCAGTGATGCCTCCATGATCGCGAGGGTGAAAACTCGTAGCCATCACCGAATGGTTAGAGGCACACTGAACCTAAACGTTAAGTTGGAGAGGTCTCGTGCAATGAAGTCAATTCTCCGTATCCCTCGTGCTCTGTTCTTGGGACAAATAGTCCGGCTAGGTTAGTCCAACTTCGACCGAGAGGTCAACTCGGCTGGGCAGCGTTCGGGAAACTACACATCTTCTCGTTAGACATACCTCAAAACCTGACAACGAAATTGTAGAACCAGTGCGTGTTGCCAGTGATGACTTACGGATCTGAGACGTGGTCCTTCACTGCTGGCCGTATAAGGAAGCTCAAGGTCGCTCAGCGAGCTATGGAGAGGGCTATGCTCGGGGTTTCTCTGCGTGATAAATTTAGAAATGAGGATATCCGCAGTAGAACCAGAGTAACTGACATAGCCCAACGGATTAGTAAGCTGAAGTGGCAGTGGGCCGGCCATATAGCTCATAGCATCATAAAGCTACAGCATGTCTCTACCACGTGAATGTTTAGATCCAGTGCTGAAATCATACACCATATTATTGAAATATGATAACTTTAATTATATGAATATAACAATAAAACAATAAAGACAACTATAAACATTTTTATTAGGAGACATTACAACAATAATGTAAAATCACACTTTGTACAACTTCATAATTTATCTTAAAGCCGCATACAGCATTCCTAAGTAAAAATCTATTATAGATTTATACCCTAGCACCACTTAAGTCCATCTCATCTCACCACCAATAAATTACTTTCTTCGTAATTCATTACAATAATTATATAGTATATAGGCCACCTAAAGCAGGCTATTGAAAGATCTAAGAATTTTGTCTATTCATAATAAATAAAGCTTTCATACTGAATTAATTTTTTTACTAAGATTTTTGGCTTGGATGCGTGTTCTTTAAACCATGTCTTCATTTATCTCAGTATCAAGTGATACCAACCCTTGGGAGATTTTGATGGCAACTTGAGCCAGCAGACAGTTGGCGATAGTATCTCAAGGCGCCTAAGAAGACAGACACCTTATCTTGACATTCACATCACCATTGGAGCACTTGTTTCAAAGTTTCCATATCACTTTTACATATCAAAATCCACTTCAAACCATTATTTAAACAATAATACAAGAGCACCAATCTAACACCAGTTAAGTTCCAGCCAAAACTCCATACTGAATCAAACTTTTAATTAAAAGCTTTTACAAAAATTTACTTCGCAAATATCCGCGTTATAAAATAAAATGATGTGTCTTACCTAGTATGAAGAAGCACCTCCCGCCCTCCCTCAATTGCGTGCACTATCCCCGTCACCACTAATCCCAGCACCGCTACTTCCAACACCACTACACTAGGCAAGACACACCACTGACGATAATATGACACGTGTTTCGCCTCTACACATATTATATATATTCATTAGTGGTGACGGGGATAGTGCACGCAATTGAGGGAGGGCGGGAGGTGCTTCTTCATACTAGGTAAGACACATCATTTTATTTTATAACGCGGATATTTGCGAAGTAAATTTTTGTAAAAGCTTTTATATAATGGATTTCCGCAAAGTAACGCCTGATTCTATTAATTAAACTTTTAATTTTACACAGATAATGCAATTTTTTCCTTATAAAGACCGGTGATATAAATTTAAACACTAAAATAGTTATATTTAACTGAACATAAACATTTAATTTTGCAAACTTGACAGGTACAATTTAACAAAACCTTACCTCATAAATAACACAATTTTATATTGAATATGGCACATTTACTTATTTTAAAATTATAACGTCTATGTTTAGCTTGTGTTATTAAAAATACATTTAAGTCAAAAAATATAAGATCAAATAGATGAAAGTAAACAAAAAATGTATAAACGGATTATAATTTTTAATACTCTCTGCTAAAAGTTAAAAAGTAAAATTTGAATTTTATATTTATTTTTTTAAATTCGTATTGACCATTTGGCATTCAAAACTGTGAATTTGTAAAGAGCTTTCTTTACAGTACACAGGGAGGAGTAAATTATGTTAATTAATGACATGACTACTCTTTAATTCCATATGTAGTTAACATTAACTTCTTTGAAATGTTACTTTGTAATTTAAAACAGATATAATACATATGTGTAATTTGTAAAACTGAGAGTCAACTAGCTGAACCCGGCAGACATTGTCCTGCCAGTTAATATCATAAGTTGTGATCAGCAATGTTTTTTTTTATTTTAGTGCATGTAATTTAATTTATTAATTGCAGCGCTTGAATGAAGAATAAAGCAAATAAAATCTAAAATTTTAAATTGTATTTGTTTCTACATTTTTCCCAAATTTTTTTTAGTTTATAAATATATATACATTCTCCTCCATAACAATTTTCATGGTGATAGATCAAATAGATTTTGAGTTGAACAATTTCATATGTAAAAACATCAAATATGTATAGATTTAAAAAAATAATTGATCTCATTCCCAGTTTTGAATGCTAAATGACATAGTTTATTTTAATTCACATTTTTGCATTTATGAAGACTACTTTTACTTTATTCTTACATAAACTTCCTAATGCTAAGTATGTAATTACATTACAATATTCAATCTATTATGTACATTATAAAAATTATACTTTGTGTGCTACATAATCTATAAATTATCAACATCATTCATCCGGCAAGTGCAAATGAGCATGTCATATTGTAGCAAGGACTGTGAGTCATTGTTAATATTACAAAATCTGCAATAGTCATTGAAATCCTAAATAATGCATGAATGGTTTAAACAAAGAACAGACTGCTGAAGTTTGGAAAATAGATTTTATAATCTTCAGCAGGCTTCATAAAACTGGGTTTTTAGGTAGATTAATAACTATTTATAAGTAAACTCCCTGTAATACTACTGATTTGCCTTTGCTATAAAGAGCATATCAAAAGCATTCTTATGAAACAGGGACATTATAAATTGATGATTAAACAATAATGCTTAGTTTATATATTTTATAAGGTAAAATTATAACTGTCGGAAGAAAAATTGTCTACTTGTGTGTTTTATGCCACTTCTCACAAGGTCTCTTGCAATAAGGCCTTGTTGAAGCAACATATATCATTTGAATTTTAAAAGGCATTAAAAATTACTTTGTAAAAGCCATTTTGAATAAAAACATTTTGATTTTAATAAATTTTTTTGAAAATAATCATTAATACTGTATGTATCTAGAGTGTAGAAAGATGAAAATAGAAAAAAATAAATGAAACTCTCAAATCTAAGGTCCAATAAAATTCAAATGAAGAAACAAAATATAACAACTTAAGATTAAGTAACTCGTGAATATATTTTTATTAAGTTTCTAATTTAATTATTATTGCCATTCGGCACATTCATAATATACAGCTGAAAATTAGCAGCTATAATTATTGATATTTAATAGTAAACTTATTTAAGACACTTATAGAAAGTTGTAGCTCAAAGTATATAAAATAAACATACATTTGGACTGGTTTATCTCAACAGTTTAAATGCAGTAGATTATCACAGTTTTTAGGGTAGTATATAAGTATAAAAATACACATGCATAAATTAAAAACGAAAAAATGAGTAAATAGGCGAAAAATCAGCGAAATAAAAGAAGGCAATAAACAATATTGAGTAAAATATAACCATGACTATAGTGAGAAATAAAAAGATTACTCGTTGTCAAGTGCTTAACCCTAAAAAAGGTTCTTGATGCAAGATTTCAATCAGTTGTCCCAATTCTTGTGTAAGCACCTGTGGGAGCTCTAAAGTTTCCACATCACATGTGTCTACTAGGTTCAATGCCAGGAACAACAAAGCTGTCCTACGGAGCGATCGGACTCCTATTGTAATATTCCAATTTGTCCTGTACATCATGCCACCAATGTTTCTAGGAGGCCTATAAATAGTCTTATTGTTGATCACATACCTCTCTTTTGTCGCTACATCGGTAAACTCCCATGGATGCGTTATAAATGTATTTATATCAAAATACGTGCCGGGATCCAAACGGACATAGTGGCGCCTTGCCCCATGAAAATCCCGCCACCACACGTCGATTTGACGGGAAGTTTTATTTGTGAAACGAAGATAAGCTCTTTGAATAGATTCCGTTGATCTCACGAGCACCCTTTGACCTGCGTCATCTATCTCGTATACCAAATCGTTTTCTATAACTTCTGCCATAATTGTTACAAAGAACTGATTTCTTTAATTACGGCTAACAATTAAAATCTTATTACATTTGCATGTTTACTTTCGCAATAATCACAGAACCATTTAACTTTAACTGAGTGTGAGTAATAATTTCAAGATAGCCCGCCACAAGCAAAAATTAGTATCCCTTATGTTGGCAGGACATTACACTTCCGTTGACCTTTCATACACAATGGCTGTTTGTGTCGCTGTTATTGGAAAAGATGTAAGTGTTTCTCCATATTTTCTAACCAATATTGCCGTCACACACCTCTGTTTAAAATGGCTTCGAATAGAATATATTAGCTTCCACTTTATCTCTGTAATAACATATTACAATGACACAAAACAACAAATAATTTTACATTCTCACACGTCATTTTCACTTTTCAACTAGGGATGTGAAAAAATAATCGATTTTAATATTAATCGATTATTTTTTTGTTATAATCGATTTTTCGAAGTCGATTATTTTTATAATAAAAATCGATTTTTAATAAATCGATTTTTATGTAAATTACGCGTTTCAATCGATTTTTGTAATCAGAGTCATCTGTGCGATGGATGTAAAAACGTGAAGTAAGTTCAATAACATGAATAAGTCAATCAAAAGACGGCGCCACCTTTATGTATCTCTATGTATGTAAAACAGTTTCGCTTTTCGTATGTTTTTAACAGGTTTCTTCCTCCCCTTTGAGATCAAAAGGTTGTCGTCGGATTATTTATAATTATATTTTTATTTTATTTTCATTCTAATCCAATGTAAATGATACTGAACATTAGTGGCATAATGATATTTAGACTTTTTGTTTGTTCAAACTTAGTTTAAAAAAAAACTATCGTTTACTAAAATTATGGTTTCTTAATGATTTCTTATATTTACGCGAAGACTACACATTTAATGAAATTAATTTTTACGGATTTGATCACGCTTAATTTAACTTTTTAATTCCTGACGTTTCGGGTGCTTCACAGCACCCATGGTCGCGGTGGGAACTGAGGTCTTTGACGTCCAGATGTCATAATTAGCCTGGCTAAATTCAGTTTTTGAATATTAATTTTTGGTCCGATCTACGCAGAATGAGCTTACAGTATCTTGAAGTCTTACAGTGGTATGCTTGGGTTTGGATTTAATTTTATTAATTATAGGATGCCAAGCAGATGGCAGCACCCATCCATCTTCTCTATTGAAATTAGGATGTTTTTTAATTTCGATAGAATCATCCTTGGTAGGAATCGGTGTTCTTTTGCGAGGATTTGTGGTTCAACTATGACATAGGGACGTCAAACACCTCAGTCCCCTCTGTGACCATGCATGCTGTAAAGCACCTGAAATGTGGGGAATTAAAAAGTTAAATAGTAGTAGTTTATTTCTAAAACCAGAAGATTATTTTCCGAATATAATTTTTTTTCGCAAAAATCGATTATTTTTTTATAAAAAAATCGATTTTTCTTAAATCGATTATTATCACAAAGCAAAAAATCGATTTTTTATTAATCGATTTTTTTCACTCAATGTCACATCCGTATTTTCAACCAGAGATAAACTGACAAATTATTAAAGGTAAAAGATCTATGACTATACAGCCTGCACACTCACTTTCTTCACCTTAGATTATTGTGTCACACTGGGAAGTTCTTTGGAGATTTTGACGACATTTTAACTCAGTGAACATTTGATGTATAAAATATCACATGGCGCCTAAGCGGACGGACGAAATAACTCAAGTTTTATATCAATATTGCACAAAAAAAATTATAAAATTGAATGCATAAAACCACCACTTCAACATATCAATTTCAACTTCAAACCATTATTTAAGCGATAACGATGCGACAAGAGCGACAAGTCGCGAGCATTCAAGTTGCTGGCAAAACTCTTAATCATAGATAGTAGTGTTACAAATTTGTAGTTACACTATTTTAATAGACACTATTTATTTCAGAATTCTCCATTATATATTGGTGGCGTGGGCAATGATACAAATACCGATAATGAACTCTCTAGGCAGTGGCTCGTTCATACAGCTCTTGACGCTTTAGAGGAACGATTAGCAACTAACAATACCAACACTGCAAATTCTGCGTCGAATTCCTCACGCACTGATCTACGGGATTTGTATCTTGGATTACTATACTCAACAGATACTCATAAAATGTAGGTTTATTAGCAATTAAAGTTTTTTTTATAGAAACCTGTAATTGAGTCTATTCTCATAACTGTCTATTTTTGTGAATCTACAATACGTTGTAAATTATCGTGGTCGAACTTAAAAAAAAATGTATTTGTTTTACAGCTATGGATATGTAACCAATACGAGGATAAAACTTGTGCTTGTAACAAGTTCCACATCCCCTAGCGGTAGTAACATAAGAGATGCAGAAGTTCGGACTGCTTTGCGGAGATTACATGCCTTGTATGCCGATGCAATTTGTAATCCGTTTCATTTGCCTGGGGATCAAATAACTTCATTGTAAGTTTTTATATTATCATCGACTGCAAATATCACACATTTTGTGTAATCGTATAATCTAATATTAACTTTATAATCATTTTGAAATCCTACAAATTTTGAAACTTTTTTATATTATGAATATTAGTGACGTCATTTTTTTTTGCTATCTATTTCTTTTTCTTTTCTTCTTACTGAAGTGTTGACAACTTTAAATAAAAACGATTGATATTTCAGTATTTGGATGAAAAAATTACGCAAATACTAATTGGTACATGTGTACATTAGGATTTCGCTGTTCAACAGTAATTAAACCTAGGTACTTTGTTCGTTACGATTTTGGTTATAAGTAATCAATGAGAGCTATATTTTTTTAAATTTATTTGATGTTTAGTTATATAATATATATAGGTAGTTTAGGTACAATATACAGTTGAATTTCGGGTTACTTTCGAATCAATATTTAGAAAATTTTACTTGCTAAAAGTGTTTTAGACTTCTTTTCTTCTTTGCATATCCCATTAAATATGGATGGAACAGGCGGATACAACTAAATTAAAAGTGTACTGGTTGTATAAAATCTCCAAAAAGTAATTACCAAGGATAACTTACTAATTTTACGATTTTTCTTTGCAGGAAATTTGATAAACAAGTGAAAAACTTGCTGCTTAATAATGTTTAGAGGAATTTAGGCGGGTGGCCATTCTTTGTTCTGTCGACGTGGCATTATGAACATGCAAAAAACGACGGCATACAAAAACTCTACAAAAAACTATAATTTTGATTGTTTAACCTGAAACGCATCTAAATATAAGTATCTAATTACATGTATTGTGCTATTTATTTGCAAATAACTGAAAAATAAAGTCGTAATTCTAAATGTGTTTGGACTGTTATCAACGTCTCCAATATTATATTTTTGTATAGTGTATGAAAATGAATGATCCATAATCATCACTTCTATTAATAGTCCACTGATGAATATAGATTGCTGCTCCCCATAAATTGCATCTAAGGCTTAGATATCTTAGATATTTGCCATAGCTGGCGAGCTTAGCACGTGGATTGGCAACTATTTTTCTTAAGGAAGGTGTTGCTTACCGCCCATCTTCTGGTTTGTGTCTTACTGTCGCCTTTTACGACAGCCACGAGACGATATGGCGGAGTATACACATTAAAAACTTACAATCATTCTTATTCGCGTTCCTGACCTGACACTGACCATTAAGCCACTATCGATAATAACATGGTGAAAATGTCTGCTTTACCCATATTTAACCAACTTTGAAAACCAAACTGTTTATAAAATAAAAGTGATAGGGTAGAATAAGTGTCATGTATTTCCTGCTACTACCTTCTGCATGAAAATATGGGACAGGCTACAGGTTTCCTGTTTTGTCAGCTTTGTTGTTATCATAATTAAAACCTGGAGAACAAAATTCATTAAAAACGTATCCATTCGCCAAACAAATTGGCTGTTTCCTTTTTATTATGATTGACTGCTTAGCTGTTTAGTGTGGCTTACTAATCATTTTGGAACAGACACAAGCTAGTAGTACCAGTTACTCGACTCCATCGAACCAGTAATTCATTCTTGGGGCGATGTAAACGCTTTTACAACAAAATTCCAGAAAATATACAAAATTTGACCTGCTCAAAGTTCAAAAACTTTATTAAACTAAGTTTGTATAGAAAGGGTTATTATAATATTAAAGAATTTATAGATGATAATAACCCCTGGAAATGAGGTGATCGCTACCAAGCTATTTCTAATTTGTTGTGTTGTTAATTTGTGTAACTTTTCTACGTGGTAGAGCCATGCTGCAGCTATATTATGGTTGTAGCACGAATGGGTCGGCTCGACCGGGGAAGGACCACGCTCTCACAGAAAACCAGCGTAAAATAGCAGCTTAACGCTGCTGTGTTTCGTATGGTGAGTGTAGAGAACCGGAGACCCTTTTTACTGGCAAAGAGGCATTCCATCTTAGTCCTCACGGGTGACAACGCATCTGCATCTTGAGTCTTTATTGAGGATAGATGTAGATGTCTATGGGTCACAGTAACCACTTACCATGAGGTGGACTGTGTGCTCGTTTATCACCCGATCCTATAAAAAAAAACATACATGATTGTAAGCTGTTTTTTCGAACCAGTGGTAAAAGAGTGACTTTCAATAATAATACTTATAATCTATATTGAATAAAAAAAGTTTCTGTTTCTGTTTAATAACATCGGCGTTTTACTTTTGTTTTATTAAGAACCAGACAAACAAATTTTGGCAAATACGGTGTTTTCTAAAATAGGCAGGCTTTGGTAACCCTACCTCAAAAATTATGTTATTTTAAATTAGTCAAAGAGCTAAAAAAGAAAACACTCGTAATGTTCTTTAAAGCGAATCACTTGAGCTTATTCGTTGTGTTTCATTTATGTGGAATGTATAAACGAGATCAGATAATATATTATGGATTTGATACGGCGTTAGATTATCTTACAAGTCGTACGTTACAAAATATGAATGTCTGCACCAGGTTCCCTACAATGAGCGCAGGTACTGGTATGTTTTTCGAACCAGCTTCTCCACCTCAAGGGCCCACTGCTGACGGTTTTCGTTACTGCGTTGCACGCGATCTTTGAGCTACGCACGAAAGACGTGTTCCAGGTGATCGTCGTCATATCTCGCCTCCAATGCCTCAAGGAGCTGCCCGTAAGTCACTTTCTTACCAAGAGCTTCCAGAACAATTAAGGCCTGATCGCGCAGGCCTAGGGTGAGAGCAGTCATGGCCTGACTTTTATTCCAACCGTTCGCCTTCTTGACAGCCTCATATTGGATTTTGTACGCCGACCAGGAAGAAGTCCCGTCGAACGGTGGTACTTTAAATCCGCGTAGCGAAGGTGTTGTAGCTATCACGGGAGTTGTAACTCCATCCCCAAATTTGAGGTCGTCCAGCGTTTTCTTCACGTCAGCCATCACGTTGTCAACCCGATTGTACACTTGGTCGATTCGGGTTTCAGCTTCCGATAGGCAGTTGTCATATTGAGCAACCCTATCCTTCACCTCCCTTACCTTCACGTTACCTTCTCCAAAGGTAGCGTGAAGGTCCTTCATGAGGAGCATCTGCTCTTCCTTATCGCGTTTGAGCTGCTCTTCCATACAGTCGGGCCTGTTCCTCCAGTCCGCGCTGCAGCTGCTTTTCCAACCGACGGGCCTGTTCCATCTGTCGGCGAGCCTGCTTCTGCAGCATCATCATTAGAGCACCTAAGTCAGGTGCTGCAGATGCAGGAGCTGCTGACGGGCCGGTCTCCGTGGTCAGCAGTTGGCGCTCCGACGTTTGCGGCGTTGCATTACCAAATCGTGTCTGGTCTGTCTCCAGCTGGCGTTGACTTCGGGAACGGATACCCTCCATGTCGTCATTTGGTAAAATCGGCATGATTTGATCCCACTTCTGACACCAATTGTTACAAGCTTGGAGCTCGAGACAATTAAAAACTACCGATTGAATTACGGGGGATTGAATTAAGTACGGGGTGCTCGTTTGTCACCCTAATTCTATAAAAAAAACTTACTTATTTGTCCCACGTAAACATACTCGTCAAAAACTTCGAGCTTAGTGCTCCCAACAACTACCGACATTGGTGTGACATGGACGTTATACATGATCTTGTTTTGCCCATGTTCATCTTAAGCACTATCCGTTGGGAGACACTTTTGAGGTCATTGAGCATAGTGCTTAGGTCCTCCAGTGATTCTGCCATAAGGACTATATCGTCGACAAATCGAAGATGAGTGATGTACTCGCCGTTGATGTTAACACCGTATCCTTTCCAGTCCAGAAACTTGACAACGTCTTCCAATGCAGCGGTGAAGAGTTTCGGGTATATAACGTCACCCTGTCTTACACCTCTATGGAGTTGGATAGGTTTCGTACTCTGGTTCTGTACTCCGATAGCCTGTAGTGTTATGCTACTTACATATCATTTTACATTATTTTAAATTCATTTTTCCATTCTGTTTCGATTTTCTGCATTCACCTCAAAACTGGATATTTTACATCACCTTTATTTCCATAGGATCCTGTAACGATTTTAAACCATAAGAACACAATAACAAATCATTTCTACTTCGTATTTTCACATTATCAGCACTTTTAAATTGGTGTCAATGGAGTCTACCTTTTTTCGATCTTTTAGCTAGTTTTCCGTAACTCTACAATCTCGGGCTTTGTGTGGGCAGCTGCGCTACCTTTTTTCCTATATCAATAATATCTCATTTTCCACTTAAATCTTACCGTTTTCTTATTATAAACCTAAAACCAAAATTTGACATGTTTTGACATTGCTATTTATTTCGTTTCCATAGTAATTATATTCAAATTTGCTACCGATCTGTTGTTCCTATTTCGATAATTCCACATAAATACTCTTTTCTCTTGACCATTTACAAAAAATTTGCGTTTAATTTAAATAATTTTTCCGTTCTCTCTAGAAAGGTATAAAAGCCGAACAATCGGTGAAGAAAAGGAGTCTCGCTTCAGTTCGCGAATTGAAAGTATCTCCTAAAGGCCTTATCCCGGGGCCGCACTGCCCCGGGATCCTGCAAGCCTCTACCTACACGTGAAGTCTTCGGCGAAGCCTTCTTCAAGCGCGGAGCCGCACCACTCCGGAATCCTACAAGCCTCCATCTACCTCGGAAGTCGTCGGCAGTCTACTTCAAGCGCGGGGGCCACACTACTCCGGGCGCTACGACTGCTTACTCCAGGCGCCGAGTGCACCTACCGCCGGCGCTACCTTTGGGCGCTGCAACTGCTGGCTCTAAGCGTTGAGCGCCCCTTCTCCAGGCGCTACGTGCGCCGGCTCCGGACGCTGCGTGTGCTGGCTCCAGGCGCTGCGCGCCGTCGCTGCTAAGAAACCTACCTCTACAAGCGCAACCGGCGTGTGCTGGCTTCAGGCGCTGCGTGCCGTCGCTGCTAAGAAACCTACCTCTACAATCGCAACGTGTGTCGCTTCGACTTTTAGGCTTCACTACAACTCTATATTCCCCTATTCTCCTACCTTTATTTTTTTTGTAATCTAATTGTACTCTCACTTCATTCATCATCATCCTCATTTCATTTTTTTATAAAATTGTAAATACCTTTTAAAAATTTAAATATATTGTTTTCTGGCTCTACTTTTGTTGTTTTGTTGTACTTAGGTTAGGTTCTATTTTTTTTATTTGTCGCTTCACGACATTTGGAGCCCAACGTAAAAGTCCTCTTTCTCTCTTAATTCTTCACCTTTACTGCGCCTTGTCCATTCCCTTTTGATTTAATTGCTCTCCCTTTCGTTCTTAACTCATTATTCATCATTCATTTATTCATCCTTTTCATACCTTCCAAATTCTAAAACAACACTTCATCTAGTGTTTCAACTTATCTGGGTTATATTTAGACCTACATTTCACACAACACTTACATTCATCACTTTAATAATATTTTTATTGTAGATAGCCTTCCAAATTCTAAAACAACACTTCATCTAGTGTTTCAACTTATCTGGATTATATTTAGACCTACATTTCACACAACACTTACATTCATCACTTTAATATTTTTATTCTAGGTAACTTAAAGAGGTATAACTTTTCAATTAAATCTTTATTTCTTAAACTTAACTTTGAACTTTACACTTTATATAAAATTGTTT